CCTCCCTCCTCCCTCCCTCCCTCCCTCCCTCCCTCCCTCCCTCCCTCCCTCCCTCCCTCCCTCCCCTCTCTCCCTCCCCTCAACTTCATGCAGTATGCTATCTACGGCATCACCCCCGTTGATCTCGTGTCCTGGGGCTTCTTCATACTCGTATCCTCTGCGCTGCTGGTGACGTCGGTGGGACTGGCTGCATTCTCCTGCTCATTTTTCTCCCCTCGTCAGTTTTGGGTGCTAAGGAACACTTTCCCTGCTCAAATCATCAGAGACTCGCTCAACAAGGAGAAGAGACTGCTGGTGACAGCGAAGACTCTTGCTTCCCCTCGTCTCATGCATCCCTGTAGCACGAGAAGTACCGCCAACTCAAGCTTTCGAGCGAGAACCTCTACTATCAGGCAACGGCTGCTGCTGTTTCCCCCCCATTCTCTCACTTTCATGTCAGGCCACATGGGCTAAGAATGATGGGAGGAAGGAGGAGGTGAGGACGACTTGATTTCTACTTGTAGGTTCTCACTCTCTTCACAGGCAGAAAACCTGCTGGAAGAGCTCAAGAAGATCAATGTGACATATTGCTGACTTGCATGCCTGTTCTTATCTCAATGCCAGGCCGAGTGCAAGGAGATCGCCAGGATGATTGGAAGGAAACATAGATGAGAAAGGGAGAAATAGAAGGTGATGAGAGAAAGAGGAAGGTCGATGATTGAAGAAAGAATCAAGCAAGCAAGACATGGATAGAATGAAACGAAATAAAACAACAAGGTAAGAAAACTCAGATAGACGATTTTGGGAGCGACGCGCTTTCAGCGAAGCTTCCGGGGTTTAGTAATGTTACATACAACAGAGATTGTCCCATAGGCAAGAGAGCGATCGGATTACATCTCGCATGATCGTCGTCAACCATTCCTCCATGCTCGCACAGAGGTTTCGCACCACCTGCTGGGAGCTGGCAAACCAGTCACTCTCCGACCTGACCACCTGCCGCGGCTGAGAATCAGCGAGGGACCACTGCAAGTGACCACTCCAGCAGGAGAGGGAGCGAGGGCTTACCTTGTTGGAGTCTTTCGCTCGGGTCGCGAGGAGCTTCATCAGAGGACTGTAACATGACACTTCTTCCTCCTTCCTGTAGGGTTTTGAGAGACCCGCCGTTTGTACGCCATTACCTTCACCTCCCTGCTGATCGTTGAGCAGCGACTCCCGCACCATCCCCGTCACCATCGGAACGGTTGAGCGGGATTGAGTGAGACTGGAGCATGTAGGGTTGCTGTGATTCATTCTCACTTGTTCAGTCTGTGAGTGACATGAAAACATCACCTCATGGACTCGCTTCGTTGCTCTGAAGACATCGTTGTATTCGGTCATGCTATACAACCACGCCCTTGACTTCTGCCATGGCAGTCACCGCATCATGCATAGCTGTGCCTCCAAACATGCAGACACCAGCTCGTCACCTTGAGGCCTCGGAAGAAGGATTCTGGCGGCAGAGGAATGGGGTCCATCAAATGGAACCGCTCCTTCGTGAAGCTGAACGCTCCATGATCATCTAGTACCATGCCGGGAGCTTCACCCGTCCCAGTATTTCTTCCTCCTCCTCTCAGCCTCATGTTTGTTCTTCCTGTCAGGTAGGCGAGTCCTCGGGGTCGCCCGCCAACTGCCCCCCAGCTCGTTCCGATGCTCATGTTGTTACACACTTAATGCTCAGCTCGGCAACGAGTCAGCCTCCTTTCCCAAGAGAGTGGTTGCTCCTCAGAGACGCCATGTGGAGGGCGTGAAGCTCGTCCGCGCGAGGGCATGCCGTAGGTCACCAGGGAGCCGTGAAGCAGCGGCCCATGGGCATCGGACAAACATGGGACCCGGCGAGTCTGGCAGTCTTCAGTCTTCTGGAAGGAGTGAGTATGAGGGAGATGATGTTGAGTATGAGGGGGATGCATCCAACATGTGTACGAGGGGGATGAGCTGTTGGAGTCTCTTCATATTTTTATTGAACTTCGTGTCGGGGGACTAAGGGAGTGGGTGGGTCCTTTTCTGGAAGGGGTCATGCCCAGATCGAATACTAAATCACCGGTACTTTTAAAGTATATTTGTATGAGTAAACAAGGGTGGGGTACTTTCATATACCCCTCCTTCGGGTAGCAACTTCCAGCATACCCCATACACATCTACAAATCTGTAAAGGGCACCCAATTACTTTGACCACCCCTACCCCCAATAAAACGTCTATAGTAGGGGTAATGCTACACTGAAGTTTCAGTCAAATGTGGTTCTGCCGTTTCATCAAGAAGCTGTACCCCTCCTTTGTCCATTGCTGGCCACCCCACCTATTCAATATTGCAGGTAAGCCCCTACCCCTACCCACCCTTGAAAGAATCAGGATGGAAGCACCCGTATTTTTGTATGAAAGTACCCCCTTGTTTACAGATATCAACTTGGTAAGCATCTCAGTATCCATCGTCTACCCACCCTCTCAGGATACCACCATGCAATATTTACCCTACCTGATTTTTCCATCTAATAAACAATTTCCATCCAATCATCGTACTACCCTACCCCAACCCGCATACGAGCAATATTCCTATGACCACATATGGACTGAGGTTCTATGTGAGGCCATACATGGGCAGACTACCCGCACGAGCGAACAGGCGAGTCCATCCTTACAACAGAGGACCCTACCCTCTTTCAAGTACCCGGTACTTATCCTTCCACAATGTGGAAATATGTGGGGTATAGAGTAGATTGTGATGATAGAACGGGGGTAGTCGGACCTGTGGTGGGGTGATCGACGGTGTAGTGGAGGGGGTGTAGGAACAAGAATGGGTAGGGTAGGAAGAGGGTGCGTGGTGTGTTGTAGAAACTGAGGGTGGGTTGAGGGGTGATGCCTTTTTTCAATTTTTTTCCTATTTTTCCCTATTTTTTCTGCAATAGATTTGGAGTGCTGGTGGTTCTTTTTTGCTCTTTCTTCTTCTTTTTTGAATTTTTTTTGCTGCATCAACAAAAAAAATCAAAAAAATTGAGGAAAAAAACAGTTCCTTTTTTGCCAACCACCCCATACACTGACCACCCCTCTACTTCCACCACCCCACCACAACATGCTCCATTCATTCAAATTACCCACCACTCCTGGGAAGGTCAAGCAGTACCCACAGATCTCTCTCAACATGAGATGACCACTACCCCTATATTTCATACCCCTACCACACAAATGAACAACCATGGTAGAAAAATAGTACCATAGATCGGTATATCACCCCTACAATCAAGGTTTTGTGATCATACCACCCATCGTTCATTTTCAGTACCGGTCCAATTCAAAACTACCACCGGTCCGGCATCCTCCTGCTTCAGCTTCCATCCCTCTCATCTTCCCCCGCTTCGTTCACGCTCCTCTCTCCCTCTCCTCTCTCATTCACACTCACTCCCTTGTCTTGTTGTCCTCTTGTAACCCGCCTTCCTCGTTCCCTGCTCTCTTCTCCCTTATTTGTCGCGTTTGGCGAGCTCCATCTTCATTCCCGCCTGGTTTCTCCTCTCCTGATTACTCGCACGCTCGGTCGAGCAAGTGCTTCAGCTGGTTAACATCTAGAACATCTCTTCTCTCGGATTCCTTCCATTTGTCTTCTCAAGTCATACCCTTCAGATCCCCAACTCTCCCAGTCTCAAAGTAGAGTCCCTGTCGTCCCCAACACCTCATTGCATCGTTGGCTGGATCCAGAGGTTCGTCTACCACGGTTAGACGAAACAACAGATCATCTAGCTCAAAGCGTCTGCTTCGTCATTTTACATGACGTCACTTCGATCAGCCATGCAGGCTGGATCTTTACGTGAGTCTGAACTTGCACGTTGCGACACATTTGGTTCCTTGCTGATGAGGATTCAGGTTTCTCAACAGACCTCACCATGGGTGGGCACGGGGTTGGGCTTGATCATGGCTTCGGACATGGAGGGGTATCGTTCCAAGTGTAGTTCGAGCGTGAATGATAGTTTGATCCAGGACGGAAAGGATGGAGGCGATGATGGATTGCACGATTCTGTTGTTAGTCAGGTGCTGCCCCTTCCTCCTGCCGATCCCTTCCTTCTAGCTTGCTCCTCTTCCACTAGAAGATGCAGGAAATCTCTTTGTTGGGGTCGTGACTCTGTCCTCGTTCCAGCAGGTTCCCGAACCCACCCAGCTGGTTGTGGAAGGGATTTTGATGAAACTCCTTGCTCAATCCCCCGACGGAACCCTGATGTGCTGCGCCAATGATACGCAGCTGAAGTTTGTAGACTCAAGGTGTGTTGCATGACTGGCCCTTCTCCTCTGCCAGATTCTAAGAATGATCCTACAGATTTTTGAAACTTTACGAGACCACGACCCCTGGTCCGATCTTGGCAGCTTGCTTCCACCCTCAAAAGTATGAACTCTTCTTGAAGATTGACAACAGAACTTTGGTACAAGCACTCGAGAACTGATGTCGTGTTGCTGATCTGTTCATTCAGATCTTCGACCTCGCTACCAAGGAGTATCGAGCGCCGGAGGACACAGATACGATGATCCCGCCGGAGCCGTGGCAACCTCCTCCTCCCCCTCCCGGTAGGATTGACGTCCCTCCTCGTCACCCAGAAGTGTGACTGAACCGACCGTAGGCGCCATCCTCTCGCCGAACATGCCGTTGAGTGGTTTAGCTATGTCCGGGGAGAAGAGGAGGTCTGGATCGGGAAGGCCGAAGGGCAGCAAGGACAAGACACAGAGGAAGGCGAGGAGTGCGGCAGCACAAGAATTCGAGAAAGAGGTGCTTGTGCTAGCTGCTGTGGCTGTGTCATGTTGTCTAACTTGACGTGTTTCAAGGTTGTGGCTCAGTTAACTGCTTTCTGCGGGGATGACGCGTCCAAGTGGAACGCAAAGAAGCCTGCGATCGATGCTGTCAAAGCTTCCCCGCTATGGGACAGCTGGTCCAAGGCAGGCCTCAATGAGCAGCAGCTCGTGCAATTCGTACACAGACTGAAAACAAAGCGGATGGGGGGGAAAGAAG